GATCTTTGGCCATGAGGCGCGATAAACTATCGGCCTGACCAAGGTTCACAGTCAATTGGTAATTGATTTCCAAATCATATGCAAAAGGCATTGTGACTCACCTTTGAAAGCGATTCGCTGAGTACACCGGAATACCCTCCTTGGACCCGACAATAGTAAGCATGGGCTTGTGATTTGTGACCAGAGTAAACTGATGGTCATAAAGCATTGTGTGAGGTCTTTAAATAGCGTAGATGATCAGCAATGCCATTTACACAATTTAGATGTAGTTGCGTACCGCAGGGGTTAACGATCGGGCGGTATGAGCAATTGCCTTCGTAGTTTCGTCAGGAAAACAGTGAGATACAACCACGCCAACTCCGTAATTAGACGCATTCGTAGCAACAATGATATCCAAGTTCGGATCGCAGTGAGTCAACAGCAGGTTTGACGATAGCACGGCTTTGACTCTATCAAAAGCTTGACAGCATTCCATACTCCAACACCACTTGGAATCTTTGAGAAGTAACGCGTTCAGTGGACCCCGTATAACATGCGTTGCAGACAAAAATGCACTGTAGTGACTCACCAATCCCACGAAGGATCGTAGCGTCGTCACAGAATGTGGTGGAGGCATTTTCTAGATGGCCCCAATATTAGCGAAATCTGGTTTTCGACCGCGTTGATCAATGATGAATCGCAAGTATTTTACGGAATCCATGTAGAAGACACACTTTTCTTCCCTCAAGCGAAAGCCATAATCTTGGATTTGATCAAGCAGGTTTTCAATCTGGTTCTCTAGATCCACCGGATCAATGCAACAGTTGGGACATCCTGTAACATGGTGCCGATAATCTGTTGAAAAATGGCAGGTGCCGTTTTTACTCCAAATGGTAGGCGAGCATATCGAAACCGACCGAGGGGTGTATTGATGGTCAGCAACGTCCGCGAATCCTCAGAAACTTCCACTTGAACATATGCGTCTGATAAGTCCAGTTTGGCGAAACATTTGCCATCATTTAGCATTGTGAAAAAGCATCCAGCAGTGGCAACGGGTATTGGTGACTTTCAAGGGCAGCATTCCGACCAGTGGAGAACTCTGTACAAATTCTGAGTTTCCCATTTGGTTTCTTGACCATCACGACAAAAGCAGCCCATGAGGAGTAAATCATAGGTTGAAAGATGCCAGCCTGCTGCACTCTCTCCAATTCCTTATCGACGCTTGGTAGCGCTGCTGCTTGGATCGGAAGACAGGTTTTGCATCGGGGTGGAGGGACAATACTATCTTAGCTTTCATGCAACAACTAAGCTCATCTCGGAATGCTTGAGCGAATTTATGTTGCAAACGCTCTGTCAGCACATTACTAAGATGAGTGAGCATAGACTGAACACACAACTGGTTACACACAGAATTAAGTGGGACGTCCAACAGTCTGAGTTTTGCGAGATCCAATCAAGGCCCAAAAGGTTTAGATTTGGTCGAGTAGAAAGGTAACACACGGCACAGAATTGCACATTAATGAAAAACACAGACCAAATAAGTTCATCTATGTTTCAGGACTCCACAGGAAGCATTCAGTGCTGTGCGATTTCTCGGCTTTAGGCGAAGCTGACCGATCATTTTCCAAGTGCTTTGTGACAAGCAAGTAATATCAGATGCTGTATCAAGCTGGAGACGTACAGGAATGTTGTTGATCTGCACAGTCACATATATACGCCGGTGTTTTGTATCCGTGTTGAAGATAGCCATAACAGGATTTATTTTGTACACCGATTTTGTGTCCGGCTTTTCTGAACTGGATGGACTGAGTCTTCGGAAGTGTTCCACTGTTTGTGCGGCAATGAGCCTCTTTGTGTCCTCGTTTGTGACATTTCTGACAGCGGTGGTTTTGGGATGGGCACAGTTGGACAACACACTGCTAGCAGGCTGTCCAAAAAGCATCGAGAAGCAATCAAAGAATTGAGGTCAAATCCCGAGCTTATTCTTTCTAGACCTAATAAAGGATCGGGATGGGTGATAATGGACAAATCAGATTACATTTCAAAAATAAAACTTATCTTGCAAGACACGAACAAATTCTTGCATGACACAATCCAGAAGGACAAAACGGCGGAGGATGAAGCAAAAATTACAAAGATCTTGAAAGAATTAAAACAGATGAATTTGATAACCGATATTCAACTGCAGCAGTTAACTCCTGTTGGCTCCCAACCTCCTCGGCTCTACGGCTTGCCTAAAGTACACAAGCCACAAGTCCCTCTACGTGCAATAATTGACATGTCCTCTTTGGCACACCACTTAGTTGCGAAATGGATTGTGCAGTTATTGGAACCTGTACGTAAGGAGCTCTCTATTCATTCTTTGAAGGATTCGTTCGAATTCGTTGATAAAGTTAAAGACCTGAAGTTAAATGGTAAACTGATGCTTTCTTTTGATGTAGAATCCCTTTTCACAAACGTCCCATTGCTGGAAACTGTTAATTTCATCTGCGAGTATATAACGGAAAGGAACCTAAACGTTGGCATTCCAGTGCCTAAGCTCAAGGAGTTAATTTTGCGGTGTACCTTTAATAGACAGTTCTTGTTTGACGGAATCTATTACAGGCAAATCGATGGCGTGGCGATGGGGTCCCCTCTTGGACCTCTCCTTGTCGACACCTTTCTCCCTAAGCTTGAGCGTGGCCCATCCAAGCGGTTATTGCTTCATTTGATTCATATTGGAGGTATATGGATGACCCTTTCATCATCTGTGATTCTCGCATTGATGTCAACCATTTGCTAGACCAGTTTAACAGTGCACATCCCTTAATGAAGTTCACTAGTGAAATGGAAAATGAAGGTAAGCGGGCTTTTCTGGATGTTTTGTTGAGGAGGCGCGAGGACGGATCACTTGAGCGTAGTGTCTTCCGCAAAGCTACATGGGTTGTACAGTACACACACTTTTCGAGCTTCGTCCCTCCGAAGTACAAACGCAACTTAGTGCGTTGCTTGAATTACCATGCCACCAAAATTTGTAGTCCGAAAACTCTCGAGGGTGAGAAGGATCGAATTGTGGAAACACTTCTTTCGAATGGATACCCAGAGCCTTTCATCAAGAAGCACGCCATGACCCGTGAGCGCGGTAAGCCCGTAGCAACGGTTCCGAAGAAGGATGCGTTTCTCTCTGTTCCCTTTAAGGGAGACATCGCCTTCGAACTCCTGAACAGGAGACTTTCTAATGCCGTAGCAGGGACCTACCCGGCCGCCCACCCGCACGTATTTGCGGGAAACCGCTTCCTTCGTAGCTTAACGTCTTAAAGACAGACTGCTAGTATCGTCCGAATCGTACATTGTTTACCAGTTTACTTGCACCTGTGGTGCAAAGTACCTCGGGCATACGACCAGGCGTCTGTCGGTACGAATGGCTGAACATTGTCCAGGGTCACTGCAGAGAGGCACGCTCAGAAGTATCAACAGCTCGATCATGGAACATCTGATTCTAAGTGGGCATCAGATTTTGACAAAAGATGCTTTCAAAGTCTATTATGCCGTACGAGGCGATACCCGAAAGGGTTAAGGAAACACCCCTTACAGACAGCTGAAGCCATCGCGATCCGACTAACACAACCAGAACTATGCAAGCATAGGGTGCTTGTGCAACCCTTGACTTTGCCATGGCCTTGATGATAAGTTTCCCCGGAGTATCATGCATAACCGGGTGCTATTTATTTATGTAAGTAACTAATTTTATATGGTTAGTATTTTCGCTTTTTGCTGTCGGTTAGACCTATCACGATGTCACCTGATTAAATCGATTCGAGCATCAAGCGAACATGCTAAATCTGTGCAAACCGTCCCATCCGTCCTCATTGTTATTTTCACCAGTTTACTATTGCATTTATCAGTCCTGTAGTTGTTATTGCCTGATGTGAACTACCGAAAAGAGATCTCTTTGCAACACTGTGTTGTTGGGGGTTTGTTGCAAAGTGCCGCATCTAGAAAAATTAGTGGGCTTTGCTGATTTGTTTTTTTATCATAGCACGCAGGTTACTGGAGCCAGGGACTGCTTCACATCCAATCATGGCAGTATCGTGTTTCAAGTTCAAGAAATGGTGGCACTCTGAAATGACGGATCACAGATTCATGCTAGGATGCGGTTGCATCTTACTGAGCAAGCGGGTACGAAGCTCTGCGTCAGGGGGCGATTGAAGACCATAAACAAATAGCAGACACTTGTAGTTGTCTTCCGTCATTTCCTTAAGCTTGAAATGCTCACACTGACGGTTAACATTGGTCGCATAAGACACAAAACCATCACAGTCACTTTTGACAAGTGTCAAATAGGAATACCGCAAGTTAGAAATAGCGGACGCTTCCCCAAAAATCACTTTCAACAGTTCAACCATTTCATCGAATTCGAACTCCCGCGCAATCTGAGGAAGAATAAAATTTACAAACCTTTCATTTGCATTAGTTCCAAGCTTTCGCAGACGGAACCGTGATTTCCAGTCACCATCGGTATCAGCCACTTCTGTCCGGAATGTGTCTTCGTGCCCCTTGAACCAAAATTCGAAATTGCATCCGGCATCTAGATCATAGCTGAATTCTGTGATGCTTCCTGAAATTGCCTACGATTCCTCAAATAGCTTCTGTTGTTGTTGTTGTTGTTGTTGTTATTGCAGTATCAAGGTGAGCTCTTCCATTGAAAGTGGCATCATCACTGGGAGTTATCCACAATCTTATTCCGTCGCCGGAAAAACCTGTTGTGGCCTACTAGGAATCGCAAACATACCGACCTCAAAGCATAACCGCTCGAGTCAAAACAGAAATCGAAAGACGTCAATAAGTAACACACTTGCAAGAAGACAAACGAGGTACATAGAAATAGCCAACTAGACAGTGTTGGACAGTAACATTTGCTTCAAAGTGTGTTTCATTTTTCAGTGAGGAATTACAAACGTGCACACACACACACAATACCTAGATGGAGATGATGAAAAAAGAGGAATACGGAAGAGTGATAAATGACTCGCAGCACTTACCTGTCCCAGACATCATTCGGCATAAAGCGACAAATCAGAGTTTGGGCGAGCAACGTCGCCGACCAATGCAGAAGGCTGATATCTCCAGACATAAGTCCGTCCCCAATCACCTCCGCGGTGGTCTCCGAACAGGCGAACAGGCAAAATGTAGCAGTGTCGAGTAGAATGAGGAGATCTGTTCTGATAAATAGACAAGAAAGAGGACTAAAATAAGGAAGATCGAAAGGCGTGATACCATCCATTATCCACAGAAACCCCCCAAAAGATTAGCTATAGCGGTTTGGCGCACCAGAACCTTAGGCTAAAAGGCCGTGCTATGCAGCCGAAATGGCAAACCCATGGAGAATATGCATGATCAAATGATAGAAACGGATGTAAATAAACAACAAGCAACTCGGCTACCGTAGATGACAAACAGACTGAAATCCCATCGCGACGAGACTGGCCTTTAACATGGTGCGATGGTTTGCCTGTCATCGTGACCCGTTGAGCTACGCTGGGTGGCCCTTGGCAAGTGACCTCATAGCCACTGAAACCAGATAAGAAAACGCTACGGTTCAGACTAACACACTTGCACAATTCCTTTTGGGGGCTAGGGGAAGGTCCATAGCCCACTTCCCTTAAAATCTAGTCATGTCAGACAACAAGCGGAATCTTACTGTGGTGTGATGGTTTGTGTGCCTCAGTGATCCATTGAGCTATGCTGGGTGGTGCATTTTTGCACCTTCAGAGCCACTCATACCAGATTGGTCAGTGGTTAGAGGCCAGACAAACTCAGCCTCCTGGTTCCCGAGGTTGGGGGTTGGAGTGAGGGTGGCTCCTTACGCCATAAAACGCACTCCTTGTAGCCCACTGCCAAACCCGCTGCCTTGCGGTCAGGTTTTTGTACCAAAGACTGGTTAAGAAGTCTAATCGTTCTCCTATCTAAGGCTGGGCAACCTGACAGTATCCTGCCCACGCAATACAATGAATTTCTCTTCAAACAATTTCTTGATGCTTTGGCAGTCGCAAAGGATAATAAACGGCGTCCTAGCTGCTGCATCGAGCAGGGTGGATAGAGGTTTGGATGCTACTGCTCTTACGTTTTGTCACCTTTATTGTCCCGTTCCAATTTCACTTTTATCCCCCCAGTTTTAACCCACTGATACTTGGCCCTCCCCCAACATGCTTTGCTAGTCGTTTAACATCTAGTTTCAACTCACGTGTAAACACGGAGCGTCACTCCCGTTATGTCGACAAGCCCATGTCCAAACAAGCGGTCCATCGCAGTTCATCGGCTTTCATTTGGAGCCCTCAATCATCCTTCAGATTGGTATGTCAAAAGGTACGCATGTTGCTAAAGATGGGTCAACAGGCAGCACTTGCCCGAACATTAGAGACCATCTCCATCGATACCCGCTGCTTATCGCAGACTCGCCTTCAAAACTCGAGCTCTGTGCTCACTCAGCGATCCGCTCCAGCTGACACCAGCAGCATTTTCTCATTGCGCCTTTCCTGTGACGATGCAGCTTCGAGCACCAGCCAAGCTGACGTTGGCATTGCCCTGATTCCCCGGGCTGAAGCTGCTCTAGTTGACTGGATTCCAATCAGTAGCCGGATATGTGCGATCCGATTGGCTGACTCGTTCAAAACTTCGAAGTCGCGTGGGACGAATACGCTGCCTAAGCGCCCACAAACGCTAGCGATGACTCGATAAAAAACGACTTCTACCGCCAACTGACCCAGCTCCGTCGCCACAAAAGAAGCTCGGACACTGTAGTGCTGGCGATTTGAACCCCCAAGGTGATAAATTATCCACTGATGAACTGCATCTGGGTGGTCAACATGGTATAGGCTCACCTAATGATAACGGTGAACGGTTACTTCATTTGTGTGAAGAGGCCCGCTTATTGCTTGCGAGCACTAATTTCCGACACAGCACCCGCCGGAGGGTGACTTGGCGCCCACCAGCCTCGAATAAGCGTTGGACGAAAATCGATCACATAGTGATAAGTCAGCGATGGAGAGACTGCGTCCATAACTGTCGATCGATTTGGAGCACAAGTATGGACACCGACCATGCACTTGTATGTGCTGACCTGCGGATGCGCTTTGGTGGACGCCCACGACGACGTTGTGAGCGCATCGACACCAGCCAACTGGCGAAGCCAGCTGTTCTGAATGCGTATCAAAGTACGCTGTCATGCGAGTTGGATAAACGCTCACTGGATGCAATTGAAGCTCACTGGTCTCATATTCACCAGACCTTACTAGCAGCAAGAAAATCCTCATGTGGTATGTCTAATCACCAACATGGACATTGGGTCTCTTCACAGTCTCTAGAACTTATCGATGCTCGCCGGCATATCCCGGATGGAAGCGAACACAATGAAACTCTCAAAGAGCCCCGGGCTAAACTCCGTGCTAGCCTGAAAAGAGACCGCGAATCCTGGTAATCTCTTCGTGCGTCAGAGATGGAAGTGGCCGTTACCCTTGGTAACCATCGTAAGTTATTCCGTCTGATAAGGGAAACATGCAGCAGGAGACCTGGTGTTAATGAAACTATACGTGACGAGAATGGACAGTCTATCTACAACAAGTCAAAACGTTTGGAACGTTGGACTGAGCATTTTGAAAAGCAATTTAATTGACCAGATTTGTTAGATTCCTCACAGGCCAGTGATCGTCCTGATCTCTGGGCTGTCCATTTGGATCCACCCTCTCGCTCAGAAGTCAAAGGTTAGATCGGCCAGTTGCTTGAACAAAGCCGCGGGACCAGTTGACTTTCATTCACTCCTCTACAAAATTGGGGGACGGGCTCTTGTTGATGATTCACACGAATTACTGGTGAAACTGTGGAGGCAGGAAATTGTCCCCACTGAATAGAGTCGTTCCGTTATTGGTCTGATAATCAAAGGAAACCCGCGTTCGGCATACGGCAACCATAGAGGAATCAGTCTGATCCCAATCGCTTCCAAATTACTTGCCTACGTAATCCTTCACAGACTGGCGTTCGTGAAAGCCAGATTCGTGAAGAGCAAGCCGGATTTCGTCGGGATCGTGGCTGCATCGACCACATCTTCACTTTGCGTCAATTGTTGGAGCACCGTCACACATATTGGCGACCCATCGTGTTCCTCGACATCAAAGGTGCCTTCGATTCGGTGGATAGACGCGCACTTTGGGCCTGTTTAATCAAGAAAGATGCGCCCGAGAAATATGTATATATTATCCGAGCACTATACGCACGTAGCATGGACAGAGTAAGGGCTTCCGGTAGGCTGTCACGGCCTGTCAGTATCTCCAGCGATGTGAGACAAGAATGTCCGCTGTCACCTTTCCATTGCAACTTCGCTATTGATGAAGTTATGGAGACTGCATTTACAGGACATGACTTAGAAAGTGTAGAGCTACTAGCAGGAGAACGACTTCTTGACTTGGAGTATGCAGACGACACTGCCCTCATCTGTGACAGCTCCCAGACGTGCCAAGCCGCACTGGACAGATTAGCACTGGCTGTCAGCCGCTTCGGGCTTTGTTTTGCACCATCGAAATGCAAAGCGTTCATCCAAGATAGGCAGGGATCGCCACTTGAGTTGACCCTTGGTGGGGATTAGCTAGACGTCGTTCAGCAATTCAACTACCTGGGAAGTTGTATTAGTGCCCTTGGGATTGACGATGAGATCACGAACCATATATCAAAAGCTCTAAGTGCTTTTGCTAGTCTTCGCCACCAATGGCGGTGGCGCGACATTACTCTCGCCCTGAAGGGTAGGATGTACAATGAAGCGGTACGTTCAACCTTACTGTACGGTTGCGAAACCTGGCCCCTTAGATCAGAGGACATAAAGAGGCCAGTTACGTTCGAGCACCGGTGCCTTCGCAGTTTGGCTGACATCTGGTGGGAACACCGTGTGAGCAATGTGCGTGTTCGACGCCTTGTTTATGGCACAGGAAAAGGAACTGAACTGCTCAGCTCTGTCATTTCACACACCAGGCTCCGATGAATCGAGCACATGTTACGTACGCCAGCCCACCGGCTCCCGCGGCGTGCGTTGTTTTCTCGCCGGGTTGGGGATGGAAGGAGAGGTGGCCGAGTGGAAGCTCGTCTCGGTTGGGGTCCAAACGACGATGAACACGTTTAACTATACGTTTGTTGACATGGCTAGGAGCCGACCTCAGTGGCATTCCTGCTGTGAGTTCCTTCGTCCTTCCCCAACTTTTTTAGCCTCTCCTTCCAGCCAGGATCTCATTTAGTAGGATATAATTTTACAAAACAATTTGTTTGTTGCCTAGTAGCCGGCTGGTAGCTTTCCGGAACAATGCCCATCCGTTGCTGGTAGAACATCTGGCATGCAGCTGTTCCATATTGTTCTTTTATGTATTGCGGCATAGTAGTTGAGGTATTTTACACCTCTAAGTAACGTGTATAATGATGATGATGGTGTTATAAGCTCAGAGCTCGATTGGTGTAGAACACGAGCGCCACGCATTGTCTCTGACGGTGGGAGGGCACTTCCCAGTGCTCAATGGTTTTCTACTGGCCGCCTCAAGCCAAGTAGCCCCTCGTCAAATTGGCGCAAACCTGCCGACTCCCAACTGCGACTGACTGTGGTCGCAGTTGCGTAACATACCACGCTCAAAAAACACGTGAATGGATCTAAAGTTTCAAAAGCTGCGTCTGAAAAAAGGCAAGTAGATCTCAATGGGCCTTTTCAATCACACTACCGGGCTATACTTGCTCCACACTGCTTTGTGGGTCAGGCTATTGAACCGAAGATTCCAGGTGGGGTCGCATAAGTGAATCTCTGTGTACCCCACAATTTGGGGGTCACACTGTTGAGTAAAAGAGTAGAGTTAGAGCACCAAGAACAAAACCCTCTCTAGAAATGGGCATCTGCCCTCTCGACCACATCGACAAAATACTCCAACTTCTTCTTCTCGCTCCCCTCCCCAGCACCTGCAATAACAAAAATTGGCATTCATTAAATGTCAACGATGTGTGGTGGTTATATCATCGATCTTAATCATGCTGGTCTCGCCAAGTGGGTTGAAGGTAACCTTAGTGGAAAAAATGAGGTAACGCAACCCCAAAGTGATGGAGGCCTTTAAGCTCTCCATTGACCTGTTTCATATAGGCGGATTGACTGCGTTTTAAGCGGTTGCTGGACAGAGATGAAGAATCGGTGCTGTCGGTTCAGCCTTGCAACAGTATTTGCACATAACAGATGTGAAGCGTGTACCGGAGCGTGGAATGCTCTACTTCAAAGCGATCAATCTCTCTCTCTCTCTGTGTGTGCGCGTGTGTGATATGGGTTCGATCAGCCCTGAGTCCCCGGGCTGAAGCTACTCTGGTTGATTGGATTCTAATCAGTAGCCGGATATGTGCGGTCCGATTAGCTGGATCGTTTAAAGCTTCGAAGTCGCGCGGGACTAACAGGTGTCTATTCATCATCGCTGCCAACGAGCCCACAAACTGTAGCGATGATTCGGTAACGAATGACTTCTACCGCCAAATGACTCAGCTCCTTCGCCACAAAAGAAGCTCGGACACTGTAGTGCTGGCTGGGGATATGAACGCTTCAATTGGAAAATTATCCACTGATGAGCTGCATCTGGGTGGTCAACATGGTATAGGCTCACCTAATGATAACGGTGAACGGTTACTTCATTTGTGTGAGGATGCTCACTTATTTCTTGCGAGCACTAATTTCCGACACAGCACCCGCCGGAGAGTGACTTGGCGCCCACCAGCCTCGAATAAGCGTTGGACGAAAATCGATTCCATTGCGATAAGTCAGCGATGGAGAGACTGCGTCCATAACTGTCGATCGATTTGGAGCACAAGTATGGACACCGACCATGCACTTGTATGTGCTGACCTGCGGATGCGCTTTGGTGGACGCCCACGACGACGTTGTGAGCGCATCGACACCAGCCAACTGGCGAAGCCAGCTGTTCTGAATGCGTATCAAAGTACGCTGTCATGCGAGTTGGATAAACGCTCACTGGATGCAATTGAAGCTCACTGGTCTCATATTCACCAGACCTTACTAGCAGCAAGAAAATCCTCATGTGGTATGTCTAATCACCAACATGGACATTGGGTCTCTTCACAGTCTCTAGAACTTATCGATGCTCGCCGGCATATCCCGGATGGAAGCGAACACAATGAAACTCTCAAAGAGCCCCGGGCTAAACTCCGTGCTAGCCTGAAAAGAGACCGCGAATCCTGGTAATCTCTTCGTGCGTCAGAGATGGAAGTGGCCGTTACCCTTGGTAACCATCGTAAGTTATTCCGTCTGATAAGGGAAACATGCAGCAGGAGACCTGGTGTTAGTAAAACTATAAGTGACGAGAGTGGACAGCCTATCCACAACAAGTCAAAACGTTTGGAGCGTTGGGCTGAGCAACCTAAAAGACAATTTAATCGGTCGGCTTGGTTAGATTTTTCGCCTGCCACTGATCGCACCGCTCCCTGGGCTGTCCATTTGGATCCACCCTCTCGCTCAGAAGTCGAACGTGAGATCGAACTGTTGAAGTTAAATAAAGCCGCGGGACCTGATGATCATCCTCCAGCCCTCTTCAAATTCAGGGGACCTGCTCTTATGGATGGTTTACAGGAGTTAATAGTGAGACTGTGGGAGCAGGAAACTGTCCCAACCGACTGGAGCCGCTCCGTCATAGCCCCAATTTTCAAAGGGAGGCTCACGATCGGAATGCGGCAGCCATAGAGGAATCAGTCTGATCTCCATCGCCTCCAAATTGCTTGCCTCTGTCATCCTTTACAGACTGAATGGTACTCGTGAAAGCAAGATTCGTGAAGAGCAAGCCGGATTTCGTCGAGGTCGTGGCTCCATTGACCACATCTTCACCTTGCGTCAGTTGTTGGAGCACCGTCATATATATTGGCAGCCCACCGTTATCGTGTTCCTCAATATCAAAGGTGCATTCGATTCGGTGGATAGACATGCACTTTAGGACTGTCTACTCAAGAAAAGTGTACCTGAGAAATATGTGAATATTATCCGAGCATTATATGCGCGTAGCTTGGGCATAGTGAGGGCTTACGGCAAGCTGTTGTCGCCCTTTAATATCTCCAGCGGCGTGAGACAAGGATGCCCGCTGTCACCTTTCTTCTTTAACTTCGCTGTCATGGAAATCGCGTTTACAGGACACGACTTAGAAGGTGTGGATCTGCACCCAGGAGAAAGATATTTGACTTAGAGTATGCTGATGATATTGCCCAAATCTGTGACAGCTCACAAACGTGTCAAGCGGCAATGGACAGATTAGCACTAGCTGTCCGTCACTTCGGGATTTGCTTCGCATCCTCAAAGTGCAAATCGTTCCTCCAAGATAGACAAGGATCGCCACCTACGCTGACCGTTGGTGGGGATCAGCTAGAAGTCGTTCAAAAATTCAACTACCTGGGAAGTTGTATCAGCGCCCGTGGGATTGAAGATGACATCACGAACCGTATAGCAAAAGCTCAAGGCGCTTTTGTTAACCTTCGCCACTTATGGCGCCGGCGCGACATCACTCTTGCCTTGAAGGGTTGAGTGTACAATGCAGTGGTACGTTCGACCCTACTGTGCGGTTGTGAAACCTGGCCGCTTAAAGCAACGGACCTGAAGAGGCTCGTTACGTTGGATCACTGGTGTCTTCGTAATTTAGCTCACATCTGGTGGGAACACAGCGTGAGCAACGAGCGTGTTCGACGCCTCGTTTACGGCACAGGAAAAGGAACTGAACCGCTCAGCACCGTTATTTCACACATCAGGCTCCGATGGCTCGGCCACGTGTTACGCATGCCAGCCCACCTACTCCCGCGACGTGTGTTGTTTGCGCGCCGGTGGTGTGGATGGAAGAAGAGGAGGGGTGGCCAAGCGATGACTTGGTCGAGAGCAATAAAGGCCCTCAGTTCTGAGCTGGCCTCGGTTGGAGCGTCTCGGCTCCCTGGTTGGGGTCCGAAAGACGATGAATACGTTTGGTTGGACACACTTGCTGACATGGGGCAAGGAGCCGACCTCAGTGGCGTTCGTGCTGTGAGTTTCTTTGTCCCACCCCATCCCTCTTAGCCCCCCCCTCCAACCACGATCTCATTATTTAGCCTTATATAATTCTGCATAGTAATTTTTTTGATGCACAGTAGCCTGCTGGTAGCTTACCGGAACGATGCCCATCCGTTACGGGTAGCTCAGCCGGCTTGCACCAGTTGCATTCTTTTTTTCTCTCCTTTTTTCTGTGTATTGCGGCACAGTAGCTGAGGTGTTCCCTACCTTTAGCTTACTTGTATGATGAGGATGGTGGTGGAGGACTATATGATTCGCATACCAGAAAGTGGTTTCCCACTAGTAAGAAGAATGACCTAGAACAGTCAGTCATGACGGTTCTAATAGTAAAATGGAGATGAGACAAGTTCAACGAGCGCCACTTGTTGCAACAAACTCAAGGCTTCCCACTGGAATAGCGGTTTCGGGGGATAAGCGTAAAAAGGATTTATCAACAACCACTATCTTCAAAGGAAACTGGCTCGAAAAAGAAATGCGTAAAAGACGGTTCGCAGCTAAAGGAGGATCACGATACTGCGCTCTTTACATGCATGGCATAACTCAAATGAAGTACGAATAACTATATTGTTTAAACGTTTGGATGTCAGACGGTGAAGATAAAGTAAGAAGAGGCGTTTAAACACTATCCGGTTTTCTTACCGCCATGGCTTTTCGGATATCAGATGAGAGTAAGAAAGCGAGGCATCAATTTAGTCCAGTTAAACAACTATGATCCGAGAAACAAAGTGCGGCGAATCCAGTTGCCACGGCTCTCGCCGTAAAAAATAACGATAAATAACAACAGTAGGATGGTGGGTTTGGGTGTGAATAGAATGTAGAGAAAATAGAAGCAAGAAGGAAATACATTAGACTAATCAGAATGGAACGGGAATTAACAACCAGATGAAAGAAGCCGAATGCAGGAATGCCACTGACTTCGTGACTGCGCCATGTCTGACGCGGTCTCCATCCATCGATGTGGACCGTCCCGAATCCCACATCCACGAAGATGGCATGCACCAGCCTGACCAAATCTCTCAGTCAATTTCTTCATGCCTCAATGCCACGTCATGGACTGGCCACTTCGAGGTTTTGCTTAACTTGGTGCAGCCGCGGCGTATAATGCACGCTGAGGAAGCCGATCAACGGGCGAGGCATCAACAGGGACTGCCAAGGTATTGCCCCACAAACAGTAAAATAATTAATGTACAACCAGCAAACACTGGGAAACAAGTCACAACAACTAACTTCAGTCGATCGGCATCTGTGGTCGACTCGAGAAAGTCCGGTAAGGTGAACAGCTGCACCGCATAGCTCAGGCATTTGGCCGAGACTTGTGCCAGTATTTGACGAGCCAATCCGGAGGGGCAGGTTTGAGAGACCACTTTCCACAGGTTGCGAAGAAACTTGCTAAAGCGAACAGCAGGAGGATCGAGGTCTACACCGTTGTATGTGTAAAGAGCGATCTCGGAAACAAGTTGGTCCCCATGCACAATGGATAGATCGACCACATTTTCGCTCAGAACACAAATAGCCGAATAGTAGTGTTTAACAAGTTCGGCCGCCAGAGTGGCACTGTAATAAAGAGGAATATTAAGGACAAGGTTCACAATTCGTGTAGCACAAAAAGTTCCGTTTCTTATTACCAAGAAATAGACGGGAATGTGTTCAATAAGATGGAATAAAGAGTTACGTAGTAGTAACACAGTTTCGAGTGATACAATGCAAAAAAAATAATTCCATGGTAGTTACTCGTACGCCATGGGAACTACCAGTGGTGGGGTTGAACAGTGACACATCATCATTATCATTATTAGTACACGTCAGCTGAGGGTGAGGAACACACCTCAGCTAATGTGCCGCAATACGAAAAGATAACAGGCTGAAAAAGCACACAACAAAAGTAGGATGTTATGCGTTTTGCATGAGATCGAGATTGGAGGGAAAACCTAAAGGGAAAGGGATGGATAGAGAAACTCACAACACAAAAGCCAAAGGGGTCGGTTCCAAGCCATCTCAGCAAGTGTGTCCAACCAAACGTGTTCACCGTCCATAGGACCCCAGTCAGACAGTCAGCATGCACCAACCGACGTCAACTTCGAAATGAAGGTTTTCATCTCTCTCGACCAAGTCATCGCTTGGCCTCCCCTCCTCCTCTTCCAACCGCACCGACAACTCGCAAACAATGCACGTCGCGGGAGTCAGTGTACTGGCATGCGCAACACGTGGCCCAACCATCGGAACCTGGTGCGTGATACAACGGTACTGAGCAGTTCACTCGCAGTTCCTGCACCAAATACGCGACGCCGAACACGCTCATTGCTCATACGGTGATCCCACCAGACATGAGCTAAGCTGCGAAGGCAGCGATGATCGAATGTGGCGAGCCACTTTATGTCTGTCGACCTGATGGACCAAGTTTCTCAAGCACATATGAGAGTTGAACGGATGGTTGCGTTATAACCTTCAGGGCGAGAGTAATATCGCAACTGCGCAAACAGGTGGCGGAGATTGGCAAAAGCACCTCGAGCTTTGGCTATACGGTTCGTAACCTCATCTTTGATCCCAAGGACGCTAATAAAGTTGCCCAGGTACTTGAATTCCTGAACGACTTCTAGCTGAACACCAAGCGTTAGTGAAGGGGTGGGTCCCTGCCAATCTTGGAGAAGTACTTTGCATTTCGATGGAACAAAGTATAGCCCAAAACGATTGACGGCCAGTGCTAATCGGTCCAGTCCCAATCGGAGTAGTGAGTTGCTTTCAAAGTGCAGTGTCACTTCGAACAACGGAACAGTTGATGAAGTGGGGGATTTTTTGATGTTTACCACACGCAGACAGAATTATTAGCATTAGCAATGGCAAAACGGTTCCCCACCCTACCTACAGCGCAAGTGCAAATCAAAAGATCGCATTACCGCATTCGTTGATTCCAAATTTTATTTATTAGTTTTCTAATAACAAATACAGAAAAAAAGCGCAAGAACATTTTAAGTGGATTCTTTGTTCAAGCTTGGAGTACGTGCCCTGTATCTGGATTGCGACACGCAATCTCATTTGGGGTCACAGTTTGTTTTGAAGCAATCCTCTGCCATCTGGAGCACTGGGACTACATCCAAGATGGAGAGTTTCATAGCTTCTATCAAACGCTGCTCGCGGAGCTCTGGCTTAGGGAACAAGGTGTAAGACGTCAATCACCCTGTGTCGAGTTTTTGCTTTCAGCTAAAGAGGAAACCGATCAGCCGTGGAGTGCAGTATGGGACAGACCAGCTCCAAGACTTGACACTTCGGATGTGGTCTCAGTGATCGGAATGGCAGAGCATCGCTTCAAAGTAAACCATGGCCTCAATCGAGATTGCGTGTCGCAATCTAAAACGCACGACGAGTACTCCAAAAGCCGACAATCAAATTTTAGCCGTTGTGTTAAGCTCTGCTTGCGGAAATCTGGCCTAGTGAACAAGGTGTAAGCCGTTAACCACCATGTGTCGGATTTCATTTTCAACTAAGGCTATTTGCAACTGAACTTTTTTAGTGGTTTGTAGCAAATGACCAACAAGTTCTGCCGTAAAAGTGGTTCGATAATGGTGGCGGCGCGATTCGTTTTCAAAGACACTATTAGAACTAATCCTGGAACTAATGTTCGCTAAACTGAAACTCGGTACAAAGCAGAAAATCGGAACCCAAATCGAAACATGAAAAGGAAAACCAAACTGGGAATGTGCGGTCCCTTGTGACGGCTTATGGAACTTTTCGGTAGCAAAAACACTGTAAGCGACAAAATCGCTTGGGGGGCTCGAGTAACGCGTAACTCTTGGGTTCAACCAAGAAAGGAAACCGAGGCGTTAACTACGGTACTATTCAAATAGAAATCAAATTACATACCTCGACAATACCCGTTCAATGTCTAAACAATCGGTCTTCATAATGTCTAAAAAGGGCTGGCTTGCCGAACAACCTCCTCATGGTGCCAGCTGGGTGGTTCGGGATTTTCCCGTTCCAGCAAAAGGTTCGACGGCATTGTTCCAGGATCTGGTGGGTTTTCGTCTGACAAGCGTTCTCCCTAAAAAAAGCCACGTATGTCCGTTTAACAACACTGTGACGTGGCGGACGTGACTCGCCACTAAATAAAGTCACTGCCCCTTGCTTCATCTTGGAGAAGCATTGCATCTCAGAAAATTTATGCTGTAATTCTGGGGAGCATTGGACCTCTGTTTGACAAAGAAACAAACGAAAGGCGTATGAACTGAGCGATCAGTCGCCGGCTCCCAATGGGCGCGATTTCCTGAATTCGCTCCGCTGCCTTGCGGACAGGCGATTCAGCCAAAGGCTCGGGGTGGTGTCCCCTAAGTCAGCACCCTACTATTTCTGTACCCATGATTTCTGATGGCTTTATGTCTATTCGTAGACCGTTGCAAATATATATATATATATATATATATATATATATATATATATATATATATAATGTCTAAAAAGAATGCAAACTGTACTTGCCACCGTACATCAAGAGTCACGCGATATCGAGTCCACGATCGAACTACACGCTTCGTTTTATTAAGTCCCCTAGCCCATGGCTCATTGGTTCGCTATACAAGGTATGAAGGGAAACGCGATGGGCTGACTTAGTGGGAGGAACACGGAGGTGTGTGTCCCTGGGCCGACAGGATCATTCAGGTCTGATGTGTGTGTAGGGGGGTGTTCTAAACGGGTTGCACAGTGTGACGGTGAACAGTTTCCACAATGAGAGGTGAGGTGAAGTCATGACAACATCGATATGAGATCACACGAAGGATAATCGGTAAGCCGGTATTCATTAGATGGGCCAGGCCTCTGGTTTGGTCATGCACAGTGAGATCCCGACATGCGTCTTGCGGTTTACATAATAGTTACATCGGTTGAAATGGCACCATGGGACATAGAGTGGGGAGCAAACAGGTGGTAGACAAGAGTTAAATCGCATTATCCATCGTGTAGATTACATAACACTTATGACGGCTCCATGCTGAGGCTGATATTGCATTCATGATGCTTCTTCACCGCAATTGGGTTAAACCAACTTAGACTTAAACTAGGTATTTTTAGGCTGGATAAATTTCATTCCACTTTAATTGGTTTGCTTTGCCTGCCTGAATTATCTTTTAGTTTACTTGCACGCTAATTGTGGTTATCTTCGTTAACTTTGTTGCCTTTGCAGCATATTTCAAGTAACGTAGACATTTTGTACCTATCGCTTATTCGTTGAACCAACTTACTTCATATGCTAATTTAGCGAAGAGTTATGCCGTCATAGCCGTATGCTTTAACGTATATACTTTTTTGATAATGTTATTTCAAGTGAATGGCTGTTGCTTGATATCCCCGGTGTGGCTGCGCTTGACGTGCATGTTGAAAAGGTGCCTACCTGTCTATTACCCACTACCTCGTCCATAATGGCTCCAGGAGACAGTTGGTCGTTGCTGGAGGGGAAGGGATGCACGGTCCTTGTGGTCGTGCTAAGCTCGGAGATTGATTCCATGCACTCAGTGTGGAGCGGACTACGATCCAGCCACCGCCTTGTGTGCGCTTGTTTCCCAAATACAGCGTGCTTGTCTTTGGCTGTGAAGGAGTGTGGGCCGGCTCAGCTGATGAAACGTGGCTCAAATCCAGGTGTATCCCTGTCTTATACCTTCGGGTTTACACTGGATATGGGGTATGTGGTTGGAGCTGTGGGTGGTGCAGCGCAAGCCACCCATGGTCCCTCTGTAGGCGCAGACATCCTGTGGCTGTCCCTGTGGAGGCCACAGTGATAGGCAAATCCGAAACCGGATGCCGCCAACCATGTCGGCTAGCATAGTACTGTGGGTAGGAGACCAGAGATAAATCGCGTTATCCATCTTACGAATCGCGCGATAAATTTATTGCTAACACAGCTAGCATTATTCTCAAATACTATGACACTTAGAGAATAATACACCTAAGGAAAGTAAAGGAAATTGAATATCTTTGAAAATACCATATAAAGTCGCCCAAAAATGACCACTCCGGGCGCCCTAGTCCTACGCATGCAGATATCTCGACAATGACCCGAACCGGGGGCTGTGTACCACAACCCACCACACAGAATAGGTAACGAAAAGCACACAGATCAATTTGTTGTGTTTTGGGGGCGTTTACGCGTATCAAGTTGGGATTGGGCCAGAGGACGATAAGCTGAAAAAGTTAAACTCTGCTATCTGAAAAGCACCCAAGCAAGAAGAAAATTGATTATCTGATGTGTATTTTGTTGAGAGCCCATACGTAGGATATCATGAGGATCAATTTCATCAGACTGCTTGGTATGCGCGCACCGGGCACTTCCACAACTCGATAAGCGATGCAAAATGTATCCCAGATTTGGAGAACACGAGATGACTACGAGTTGGATCGAATGTAAGAAGCTAGGCGAGATGTTTTAAAAGAGCAAAGCCAGCAATGACATATACAATGGATGAATTTCAACACAAGGCGTTTTTGACCGCTGTGAAGGCGATCACTTCTTGCAATTCATTCAGTGACACCAATCCTGTAACACTCAACCAAGTCACATGAGCCCTTGAGTGAAGCGAGCTGGTTAGGTGCTTCCAATCAGCGTATGGTCTCTAATGACTAGAAGAAGTACATCACTGTAAAAAATGCTCAAGTTATGGTTTCAAGCAAAACCTTTATCATCAGACGACAAGTGCACCGACGTGAACCAAAGGAACTGTGACTGCTTCAGGTGACCAAATGCGAGGAGGAATTCAAACGTATCGATACTTTCAGAGTCGCTCTTCCTCAGTAGTGCATTCCATGACTTGTCTCGCCTTTTTATGGACTCTCCAGGCCGGTTGGAAGTGGAACTTAGGACATCGCAGTTGGTGACTACTAGATCGTTGGTCAATATGGAGATTAGGAGTTTACATTTTGGGTACCCCAAAACGGAACACGTTGGTAACAGCGGATCCCAGTCGCCTGGTGGTAAAGAGCATATCACGGTTTTCTCTACTTGAATAGTTCAAACTTAGACAAAAGCAACGCTCTACTTCTGGTAAACTTCAAAGTGATTCGAGGTTCGAATCGGGACCGTTTGTGACAACGCATACATGGAACAGGTAGTTCGGAGCTCAAGAGTATTCCAGCAGCCTAAAATCAGTGGAAATCATCAGGCTGGGAGAAGCGAGTGAGTCTAGATGTGACAAATTTCTACCTATACCATTCAACTCCTCCTACTACTCTTCTCTAATCAGTACGCAGACCAGACTGCTTATAATGCCATAAGTTAATTGGCGGCTTAAGTTTGGGTAAGCTCGTCGCTTGGTGAGGGGGCTACCCTGTCCTCTGCACGGCGGTAACGTGTAAGTCAGTGGATAGTGAGCGGCGCTATATCACATCTAGTAACTTATTCACGATGGTCTTTGCCGTCCCCCGTAGCTCAGTGGCCTCAACCACGGACTGGTAACAGTCGAGTTGCGGGCTAGAGCCCTACCATGGGTCCGATGGAATGCGCACTGCTAATGACTCCCGAAAGGATAAAACGCGCGTACACTGCATTTCCGGGCGTGTGACGGCTGTCTGAGTGAGTCTAGATGTGACGAATTTCTAGCTGTACCAGAAGCGAATATGTTTGATCCTAAGGCAAACACGTGTTTAGGGCTCCGGTAAACAGAAAAACCTTGGAGACCACCAGTAAACAAAAAGAGACTGCAATAACCATAATGCCGAATTGATCACAGCAATCACTGCATGACGCTTGGCTTGTGATGTATGTAGGGATAGCAAATACGAATGCAACTCACAAATTGTTGTTCGCTGTTTTGTCCAGGGTCTCCACATCTTCATAGACCGATACGCTGAAGCGGTCCCTAAACAATTGGGTCAAAAGGTGACACAAGGAACGGAGCAGCAGACAACTGGAAATGCACCCAGCGACACTTGTTACACCACTCAAGTCATCCTCAGCGCCAGCGACCACTTCTTGTATTTGCACGAGGACCCCATCGAACTCGGCGTGGGATGCGCCACCGCGCAGAAATTGTACCAATGTGCGTAAGATACTTGTCACTAGAGGTTGGAAGTAGTACTTCATCGGACGGTCTTCTGGTCTGTCAGGCACTGGGATGTGAGGGTCTTCGGAACCAGATGCAGTGTGGGGTTGTTCCTCAGACGGCTGATTTGAATCAAACATGGTAAAATGGACTGCTCCAGATGTCTCGTTTGATGAGGACACATGGTCAATAGAGGGCTGGAGGTCAGAATCCAGTAGGCTTAAAAGACCAGGTATCACGGCGGAAACGACCAGGGAAACAAAGCTGGAGACGGACTAGTGAGGTAGATAGGTAGGTAGAAAAAACAGAGGGGTCAACCAAGAGAGCAGTTGGCCAATTGAAAAAAAACAGAGGTCAGCGGCTAGCAATGTAACGAAAAACACCCCGCTTTAATTTTTTAAGCAGTATAAATGACGAGAAATAGGAAACCCATTGCGAACACATTGGAAGATATAAGTAACAGATTAGGCACATATGGAGCCGCGTCGTGCAACGAAGAAATGTCGCAACTGTGTCAAGTACACAGTGATAAAGATGATTTGTAATTCCAAAAAACTACTAGGAAGGATACTTATCCATTTCGATACTTCCCAGTAGTAGTGAGAGCCAAGCTGAAACCAGACTGTGAAGGTGAACCCGTGATGATTTTGTGGGGAGGTGGAGAGCAGCGATAGCACCAACTTAGTTGGGAAGCGCTATAGCTGAGATGAAAGTGGAAATCACTGCGTTATGACACGCGGTTAGTCCAGTACCAACAAGAGAATGGGAACACGGTGCGGATAGAAAGATTAGCAGGGAGACTCGATCTTCCCCCAATAAGCAACCAGATGGCTTAAGGGACGAGATAAAGTAGTCTGAGTTGGGTTGGATTTACAAGCATCATCATCATCATCATCAATATACACGTTAGCTGCAGGTGGAAAACACCTCAGCTATTGTGCCGCAATACAAAAGACAAGAAAAGGAAAACAAACAGTGGCACGCCCGCTGAGTCCCCAGTAACGGATGGACATCGTTCCTAAGAGCTTACAGCTGGCTGCCGTAAAAGAGAGTCATATTATGCCTAACAAGTGAGATCATGATTGGAAGGGGATGGACAAAGAAACTCACAACACAAAAGCCATTGGGGCCGACTCCAAGCCATATCAGCAAGTGTGTCCAACCAAACGTGTTCACCGTCCTTAGGATCCCCGCCAGGCAGTCGGGATGCACCAACCGACGCCAGTTTCGAAGTGAGGGTTTCCATCTCTCTCGACCAGGTCATCGCTTGGCCTCCCCTCCTCCTCTTCCAACCGCACTGCCAGCGCGCAAACAATGCACGTCGCGGGAGTCGGTGTGCTGGCATGCGCAACATGTGGCCCAACCATCGGAGCCTGGTGCGTGATATAATGGTGCGGAGCGGTTCACTCGCTTTTCCTTCACCAAATACGCGACGCGGGATTTACAAGCAGAAATTAGCAATTTTATGGCCGGAATTCCCGGGAGTGGTGGAAAAAACTTTGAAAACATGAGGCTATAACAAAGTGTGCTTGGATCCGCAATGTAAATATGAATTGACAGCAGTGGGATATAACTTAATGTGACCTCACTGATGTGTGACCCAATGTGACAATGCTTCACAGCAGATGCGATTCGGTTAAACTATGCTTCAGGCACAATGGAGAGGCGGATCAAGTTGCCATACAACTGGTGTCGCAGGGATAAAAAATAAACAGCAGTGAGGAAAATGAAGTAAAGTAGAAATACAAAGAAAAAAGGGCTGGGAAAAAGTGGACAGTGGAGGGCGTACTAACAGATGCGGGATAAACCGAACGCAGGAGCGCCGCTGGTATGACCAATTCCGAGACACGTACCAAACCGACTAAATCTTTCGGTCATTTCTTCAAACCCTTATGTCACACGCTATATCGACTGAGTATCTCGCGGTTTCGCCCAACTTGGTACAGTGAGAGCGTTTAATACACGCCGAGGAAGCAGGTGAACGGGCGTACGGTGGACACGACCTGACCAAGGTAGGTGACTTAGGTTTATTTGCGTATTTTCCAAAGGTGTTTTAAAACAAGAGTCTATGTGTGTGATAGGCCTCCATCAGATCCCAGTGAGTCCCTGCAATCGCAATCTCGAGACGGATCTGCTCCCCACTGCCTTGGGGATCAGACGGTTGAGTTGAAGGCTTGAGGTAGCGCACCTCGAACAAAATCCCTCTTTCGGAATGCGCTGCTGCAGAGTATCATTCGCCCTCTCGACCACTTCGACAATTCCTCCTCTTCCTCTTATTTTTTCCATCTCCTCTCAACTCTCTTCTCCCCAGTCTATTGAGCAAGATTCCGCCGTTGACCTCATTGCCTCTGCCATCGATACTCGTGACTCGTTCGTCAAACCACGAGTCTCATTTCAGGTTAATACTGTTAACGTCCACACTCTGACTCAGATCGGTCAAAATGCGTCACTGATTCTCACTATTCAGTTTCTTGGTATTGATGTGTGCTTCGTATCCGAAACACACATACAAGACAATAGCGTTGTGACGAATCTTCGACTCCCTGGTTTTGAATCTGACGACAATGACTACAATCTTCGCGTCGCGGGCGATACTGAGTCAATGGCTCAAGGCATGATGTTGGTATAACCTTCAGAAGACATGCTGAAGGTAGTCTCCTCGACTGGATACCGGTGAACAGCCGCATGTATGCGGTTCGACTTCGAACCTATAACGAAGACAAAGTGCCTTTCCATCGCCTCTGTTTATGCTACTACTGGGAACAGTTCAGAGATTGCAGTTGTGATGCCCCCGGAAATATGTTGTGGTTGCCGCTGAATGAGTTCTACGATCAGCTTTCAAATGATCGCATGGTGACGAATGCTGACATTTTGATTGCCGCCGTTGACTTGAATGCCCAAGTGGGTCGTGTTTCAGACTCTGAACGACATCTTAGAGGACACTTCGGAGTCGATGCACACCGAAAAGACAATGATGATCGATTCCTGCAACTGTGCGTCGACCACAATCTCTATAGTAACAGCACTGCTGTCCAGCACAAACGTTCACACGGCGTCACCTGACGCTCCCGAATCTCTCCATGACATGGACCCAAATTGACCACATTGTCATCAGCTACAGGTGGCGCATATCAGTCCAAGACTGTCGGTCAATTTGGAGCACGCGCCTGAATTCCGACCATGCTCTAGTGCGTACACACTCGGCGCTCACTCTTCCCACTGCAAAAAGCATTTAACTTCTAAAATTCAGGGACCTGACGAGCTTCTGTGACCTGAGCGCACGTGCTCACAAGCCAGATGTTTTATCTAACCAGTTTCGAGCAGTTAGGCCATTACGTTCAGAGTATCCACCGAAGCGTTGGAGAAATAAGCAACAATAGGCGATGCTTCACAATCAAAGAGGGCTGAAAGAAGTTCTAGATATAATCAAAAACGTCCACTGTAGCTTTGAACTGCCACACTTCTTGTGACGTTTCGCTTTAGAAAAGGCCAGCGCTTGGATTTATTCGTTTCTAATTACTGCACCACGCACCTACGTTGGACTCATCAGACATTTTGTACATCCATATACCGAGCAGCCATTCAAATGCTGTGGGCTAGTCTTACATCTACTGCATCTTCGAAGTTTAGGGTGGAATGGAGATAACTGAGGAATAGAGACAGTCTGTGTACGGAGATGACCGTTATTGACCGAAAGCGGCTACAATCGCTCAGATGGGACAGAGCAGTACTGAGACGATTTATAATCTGTATCAGTGGCAGCAGTCAAATGCGCATGGCCCATGATTCGGACACAAGAGACACATGCAAGCGAGTACGGAGAAGAGAAACTGGTGATATCAAAGTCTGTTACAATATGAAGAAAAGGAAAACCGCGACTCATGAAGCTACCTGGAGGAGGGACATGAAAAGGAAGAGATTTCCTTGAAATATGGACTCGACCAAGCACTCGATAAACATGCACATCTACATGGGCCCAGTTTACCAAATGTTAAGATGGAGAAAACTAAAAACCGTCGTGGGCAAGCAAAGGAACCATCAACAATACAACAGCAACAGCCAGGACAAAATCATCTCACCAACAGTCAGTGTCTATGAGAAGAGAACTTGGACAAACAGGTTACGCTCAAGGGCCACAGATAGAGGAGGTCAATACATAAGTCACTTGCTGGTCGATCACAAATCGACGACCAAATCAGGGGATTGCGTTTGACCCAGTAGCGCGCTGAGGAAGTCTTCTCGTTTGGTGATGAAACACTTGCAAACCAATTACGAAGCTCGGCGAATAGGTGAAACCAGGAACGATCAACCTGAGCTACCAGTGCATCTACTGGGAGATGATCAACTCTAAAGTGCAAGCGTAGAACCAAGTCATGGTTGGTAGCCTAAAAGGATCACAAGCCTGCGTTGTAGTCCGACGGCAGGGGTTCGAGTCTGCGTAGGGATCAGGCGATCCTCGCATTTGAAATAAATGAGAATATGCGTAGCTCGGGGTGTGGATGCGGATTTTGAGCGGTTCTCCGAGCTGAGTGATTATTGTGCAGACGTTTCGTTGCCTGACTAGGCAACATCATCAGTGCGGCTTCAGGGGCCTGGTTCGCAGTGCCGCGTAAGCGACTTTAATTGAAGTTGCTTACGATGCATTGCGAACCAGGCCTCTGAAGCCGCACTGATGATGTTGCCTAGTCAGGCAACGAAACGTCTGCACAATAATCACTCAGCTCGGAGAACCGCTCAAAATCCGCATCCTAGCATTCTCCTTAACCCATGTGCAACTGGTGGTTGTGACGCAGCAAAGGGTCCGTACCGTATACCGGCGTATTGCTGATGCCATTGTTTCTGTTCGTTGTGGTGCTTCATCCCAGTTCAAATCGACTGCATCGCATATGTGGTAAGAGAAGCCACGTTAATGATGATGGCTGCGTCCTGTTTCTCAAACTTACGAGGTGGTATAAAGAGTGTTAGAGAAGAAGACTTTATGGATCGACATCGGATTATCCGTACTGTGTTGTCAGCTAAGTGGTGTGCATCGCCGAACGAATCGTGCGTTTACGCTTTGAATGGGAAACACAGCTCTACGTAGTAAATAAGCTGGACACACACAAGCAGCAATTATTAGTAAAAGTAGCAGTTACTTAGTTAGGTTTGCCGATCATGGGAGCTGAACTGATTCTCGTTGCTCAAAATTTAAACGCTTACATTTAAGTCCCCGAAGCGAGTGTTTCTATGGATGCAACCAAAGGCGTCGGCGGACGATCTCATTGTGATGTGTTAA